CTCTCTCTCTCTCTCTCTCTCTCTCTCTCTCTCTCTCTGTCTCTCCTTATTTTCTGAGGTAGTGCTTCTCCCAGTACCCCAAACTTGCTCTTTTGACTAAATCTAGCTAGTTTGCTCTAGAGTACCCTTAGCTTGGCCTCTGAAGGACTAGGATTTCTGGTTCAGATTAAAGGTGGGCTACCATGCCCATGTGGCTTTTTCCTGAGTTCTAAGGAGATAAAATCTGGTTCTCATGCTTGCATGACAAGTACTTTATACACTGAGCCATATTCCCAGCACTAACTTCGCAAATTTTTGATCGTCTATTTCATCAGACAAAGAAAGTCACGATAAAGAATGACCCATTCAGGTCACCATAGAGTCTCAGGAGCAGCCAAATATCTCTCTCTTCACCAGACAGGTTAGGACCAGTTCTCTTGGTAACTGCAGAGCCATCTAAACAAATCAGGCCCATCACAACTTCCATCTTATCAGTGCCAAGCTATGGAGAAACTAGCCTGCCTTTGTGTGCTGAAAGGCTTGTAACCCCCTCTAATTTCACTCCTGACTTTCTCCTTCATCTCACACTTGTCTTCTCTTTCTATGGCTTTTAAATTGCTCTTCAATTTCAATCTCATCTCTGAAATTCTCCTGCCTCTTTGTCTTAATTGAAGTCTAGCTTACCACTCAGAATCTTGCTTCACTTTAGCCCTCTCAAATCAAGTTTCTCGCTTCAACTGTGAAGATTGAGGTTGGGAGGAGGCTCAGCTTCTTCCTTATTTCTCATTTCTACTTTCTGTGCACTACTCCTCTACCACTGTGTACAAAACACCTCCTTCACAGTCCTTTTTGGATTGCCTTACTCTGTCTATTCCTGCTTATCTTGCTTCCCCCCTCTCCAGTTATAACAGAAAGTCTCTAGCATATAAGCTATAGATTAATTTCTTTCTCTCAAGTAGCTCTATCTTATTACTCTTGTTGTCAAAGGTGCATACCACAGGAAACTACTCATCTACTGAAGAGTAGAGGTACCAACATGATACCTGGTCCTAACTCAAGGGTTTACGCTAAACCTATGCTCTGTGTGGCTGAAATCTTCACTTACGTGATTAACATGCCAGTTTGCTTTTCATTTGCTGATGCAACATACTGAAGCAATAGCTCATTGGCAATGCTCACAAGCACACCAAACTCTGTTTCGCTCACCTACTAGGTTTACTTTTATATAAAGACCTATTTCAAGTCATTATTACCTAAACATATCTCTCTTCCTTCCATTTCTAATCACTTAAATATATGTTCTCTACATTATATTTTCTTTATTGTTCTTTTTCAAGTCTCCAAAACCAAGCAGAATACAAAAAAGGTCCTCTTCCCTCCTTAATCTGTGCAGAGCAGGTATGATAACATTAGACACACCTTTGCCTGAGCAGAAGTTTCCATGATTAAACCTTTGCCTACTCTCTTGACTGGAATTTTGTAACTCTTCCTTTGTGCTCTGTCTACCTGGAACTGCCTATAGTTTCTTGTATATACTTTGATGCTTCATATTAGCTCATTCCTCATTGAGTTAGCTCATGGACTATTTCTAAGCCCTGATGTTATCTTTAGCTTCCTCAGTCTCCTATGAAAGCACATCCATTCTCAAAGCTGGTAGCCATTCCCTATGCCAAAGACATCAACTGCTGCTCCCTCCCCAGTGAGATGTCTCCATTGCCCTCTTCAGTGAGAATGCACTGAATTGATATCTAATGGGTATTTACACATAGTAATGATGCTTTATAAGGCAGAATGATGTCTTATTTCCCTTGGTATTTCTAGCACAGAAAGAATGACAATGTCTCTTTTAGGCTCATGCATCTGGGCACTTGGCCCCGAGTTGCTGGTGCTGTTTGGGGAGGTTATGGACTCCTTAGAGTGGTGCTTCTCAATCTGTGGGTCATGACCCCTTTGGGGGAGGGGGGTTGAGTGACCCTTTCACAGGGGTCGCCTAAGACCAACTGAAAACACAGATGTTTATATTATGATTAATAACTAGCAAAATTATAGTTGTGAAGTAGCAAAGAAATAATTGTATGGTTGTGGGTCACCACAACGTGAACTGTATGAAAGCGACACAGCATCAGGAAGGTACCACTGCTTTAGGGAGGTACACCTTTGCTGGAAGAAGTACATAACTGGAGATGGGTTTTGGGAGTATATAGCCTAGCCCCACTTTCTGCTTGTTCTCTCTGCTTCCTGTGTGTGGATGTAATGTGATCAGCCAGCTTCCTGCTCTTGTTTAAGCCATGCCTTTCCTGTTACTATGGACTCTAGCCCTCTGGAACCACAAGCTAAAATAAACTTTTGTATTCTTATTGTTTTTAAAGATTTATTTCTTTATTATGTATACAGTGTTCTGCCTGCATGTGTCCCTGTATGCCAGAAGAGGGCACACACTCTCATTACAGATGATTGTGAGCCACCATGTGGTTTCTGGGAATTGAACTCAGGGCCTCTGGAAGAGCAGAGCCAGTGCTCTTAACCTCTGAGTCATCTTTCCAGTCCAACTCTAGTATTCTTAACTTGCTTTTGGTCATGATGTTTATTCTAGCAACTAACTAATTAGCAAGTAACTAATGCACAGACATTTAATACACATGAAGAGGAACAAAATAATGTATTTTGAAATTTAATTTGAAAGAATATCTATATTTACTCATGAAATTTAAGAGATACACAAACTTGCTTTATATTTAAGTCTTATAAAAAGACAGGTTAGGTATCTTTGTTTCTAATTCTGTCTGATTCATCAAATTTTAGAGACCACAGTCTTCAGTAATCTTTTACAGAACAGAGAATGCCAAGGCTGCTTCCTAATTAAGTTTGTACATGATTTATGTATGTTGCTAATTTTTTGACAATAACATCATAATCATTTTGAAAAGTAAGTCAAAGCTAGGGACAGAAGGATATATATATATATGTATATATATATATATATATATATGTGTATATATATACATATATATATATATGTTTCTCATATCAAACACAACATTTAACCAATATAATGAATGGCAAATACTTCAAGATTCCCAGCACATAAACAGATATCTACATTGTGTTTTCTTAACTAATTAATGAGGAAAGAATCAAGGATCAAGCCCACTAACCACCAACACTGAATTTTGATTTCTTCATCCACAGAAATCTCAAAGATTCGTGGATAGCAGTAACCCAACTAGAAGACTCAAATATGAAATCAGCCGTGGTTTGACATATTACTAAAATAACACATTTTAATTTTGATTCTCTAAAAAAGTGAAATTAAAGACAAACTTAGGAAATTTCACTAAGTAATTTTTTCTTTGTAGTGAAGTCGCTGTCTAGACTCCATTTCCCTTTCAAAGATTTTATTTGTTTATTGTTGGGTTTTGTTTGAAACAAGATCTCACCGTGTAGCACAGGTTGGCCTGGAACTTACATCTTGTCAAGGCTGCATCTGAACTCATGCTTTTCCAACCACAGCTTACTGAGTGCTGAGATTATAGGCATGTACCAACATAGTCATCTTAAAAGCTCTAATCTTATACAAAAATCCAGAAACTTCTTATGTCATACTTGAAAAAAGTTCTATTTGCAGATTAGACACATCACACTTAGAATAGAATGGAGGGTCTACCAAAATCACAACTTCATATTAGCTTCTGAGCTTTGGGACAAGAACGCATATCCCAGACATCACTAATTTATAAACAATGCATACAGATTTTCTCCTTCCTAGAACTCTCAGCTTGATCCACTCATTCATATACATACAGACTTGCATATTTCATGAGGGGAAACAAAGGCAAAACGATCACATTTAGATGCTGCTCCTCTTCATGAGATTATCACAATCTGAAATATATGTTACTTTTTCAGCTCCCCAAGTTTACAGAAGAGGAATACAGTTGTTTAAAATATGGGTGTCAGTCATGTCTTCCCAATAAATGGTATGTAAGGACCTATATTCTCCAATAGTCTCAGTTCTTGGGAACATAGGGTGTTAGGAACATTCTAGGAAAACATGAGTAGTCCTGAAGCACAATAATGTTTCATTCCCTAAGCCCACAGTGACCAGCTGGGAGATCAGGTTTAAATGCCCTGAAGTTTAATTTCTACACCAATCAACTGTGTCAGCTATCAGCTAAACTTATTGGCTGCAAGGCTCCTGTTACACAGAAATCCACTTCTGTTGCTAATAAGCATGTGTTCCTTAATTGATAAGCTGGATTCAAAGAAGGGCTGTACTTACTGCTCACCATTACTTTCACAGACTTGTCTGTTTTACAGCTACAGAGGCAGGTATTTCAGAATATAAGAAATTAAAACAGAAATCGGAAAGCTTTTTAGTCCATTTTGCTAATTAATATGTCAGAGCTCGTAAAGAAGAAGTCCCTGGCTTTCTCAGTACTGCATCATCCTAAAGAGCTGGGTCAGCAAAGATCCCTGCAGACAGTCAATACATATTAAAACAGCTCCAAGCAGTAAATCAAAACAACAGAAAAAGAAGATGACACAGTAGGAAAAAAAAGAAGCAAAATTTATAAGCTCCTTCATACTGAATACAAGAGGAGCACTGAACTATTGGTTGAGGTTCAGTACATAGACAGGGAAGAAGGAAGAAGTATTGCAGATATCCTTTATAATTCTGAGTATGCTCAAAATTAAACCAGTAATTTTAAATATCAAGTGCCAAGTTGATTTCATTTTCTCTGGATTCTAAGGTTCCTTCAGAATACTGAAGTCATTTTCAAATTGACTATATAATACCAGTGGCCAGCAATAAAAACATACATGTACAAGTGATATTACATAGACTTAGCAGGTTGTAGTTATGTTTCCAGAAACACACACACACACACACACACACACACACACACACACAAAGAAAATAGGGCCATGAACTTGAGAGAGGAAAGGGGGAGGGAATGGACGAAGTTAGTGATGTAATAATAGCGTTATTTCAAAAAATAAAAAATGGTAAAAAAATAAGTTTTCTTTTTAAAATACATTTATCTGTCTTGCATTTCTAGGGTATGAATTTTGTTCAGTTAGTAGATTGGGGAAGATTTTGCAAGGCTCACTAAAACTTATGCTGTTTCTTAAAGGAGCTAACCAAATGGTATTTTATCTCTAACATCTCTGGGTGGGTCTGACCATTCTGTAGACATAAAGACCTCCCTTACATGGAGAAGATCCCACAAGATTACAGCCCTCACTGAGGGAAAGGGATAGAATGCACTGGCAATTTGGCAAAGCTCATGAAGTTGTTATGGGAATCTGAAGAATAATGCGTTGATTCCAGAAGGGGTGAAGGAGGCTACCATTTTGAGTCAAAAATTATAGAAAGATTTATCTTACCTGGGGCCTTTGATATAATTTTAGCCTGGGGCATTAACCACTTAAAGATTAAGCCCAGGAAAAGGTGCCAAAAATCTTGTCACAAAATTGGGATGCACCCAAGCCAGACCAGCAGATGGAACTTGGCATACAATGGCTCTGTACTCACTAAGAAGCTGACTCAGAAGAAAGCTCAACTCGAATGAATTTATTAAATGTTGAATATCTCCCAAATAAGATGGATGGTAGACTTAAGTCAGCATATACAATTTAATTTACTTTAACTTCCTGATAGTCTTGGATAATGTTAAAGCTGTCCACATTTCTGGAATTAAAGAGAAGGCTATTCTTATCCAAAAAAGATCCTGATGTATTACTTAAGTATTCCAAAGATAGGACTTGGGAAAGAAAAATCATATTTCAAGAAAACTTCAAGGGATCACTTGAATATTGCCAAAAGTATCATCCTGGTCCCTTGCAAGGTAAAATATAGCCTGACAATTTTTGGTTACAGAGTATCCATAAAAGTTTGACATTGCAGATTTATTATCTGTCTGTCTGTCTATCTATCTATCTATCTATCTATCTATCTATCTATCTATCTATCTATCTATCTTTTGTCACTTATCTATCTAGGTATATATAATCTATTTGTTGTAAGTGTTGTAAATGACTTGACTGAGAGAAGTTGTCAGAATTAAAGGAACCCTTAAGCCTTTGTTGCTATCATACGACCACCACCTTCATCACCAACATCCAATGAGAAATCCCTCTACATCAGTGGTTCTCAACCTTCCTAATGTTGCAACCCTTTGTTACAGTTTCCCATATTGTGGTGACACCCAATCATAAAATTATTTTTTTGCTAATTCATAACTCTAAGTTTGCTACTGTTATGAATTGTAATGTAAATATCTGATGTGCAGGATATTTGATATGTGTGTGACACATATGAAAGGGTTGTTCAACATCCAGAGGGTTTGCAAACCACAGGTTGAGAACCACAGCTCTACATGAATATAGAACCCTTTCGGGAGCTGAGTTTTTGTCTGAGAGATGAATGTCTGGAAAAATAATATTTAAGGTTAATTTTCAAATCATATATGTAAAAAACTAGTAAAGGGTACATTCTTGGAGCATATTCATTTACAAACTTTTAGTCACATGTCTTCTCTAATGATGCTCTGCATTTTTTCACAAGTGTCTCTAATATTGTATAGGATGTACTTGTTTACTGTAACACATCAGTATATAATTATAGGTGTTTGTTTAGCCCTCTTCATTTTATGTTATGTTTTCTCTAAAGTTAACAAATTTCTTACTTGCCATAATCATTAAGTGGTTGATGCCTCATAGCTCAAATTGAATCAGAGGCCCATGTAAGATAAAGTTGACTTTTTCACATTTACATGGATTCAACAGATTTTCAACAATAAACTCTCTGATGCAGTGATTATGTAAAAGTCTCAAGATATAAGAACACTGATTGTTGGAGTGGTTACATATTAGTAACAAAGCTATATGTCATTTAGTATATTTTAACATTATGTTTCTTATAGTATAAAGCTTGCTGGTACAATTTCTATCTGCTATCTGAGGTAAAGTTGTCACGTAGAATTTTACAAGCTCTCTATCTGCCAGCTATGAAATCCTGCCAATTTTGATTTTTCAAAATCTGTAAGGTCATTATTTCAAGTTTTGTAAAGTAGTTCTTTATAAATATTTATATCACATTAGGTAAAAGCCAACTTTTAAACTTAACTAAAATATTATAGCAATAATCTAAGATGATATTCTCAGTTCAAAAGAGTGACAGTCACTTTTGATTACCAGCAAAGGGTGATTTTTTTTAAATAAGATTAAAATAAGATTGGAATTTTTGGAATTAACCAGAAAGCTTATTATTTGCTCATTTCCACAAACCCAGTTCATAAGCATTCTTAATAACCACATAAACAGAATGCTTTTTTGTCCATGGTATCTAACTATTTAGACTCTTTATTGGGAAGAATGGAAGTAAGAACCTAAGAGTTATGAACCAGCTGTTCCCTGCTGCAATCATTAGAAAATCTAAAGAAGGAGAAAAAGAAAAAATATCATAATCTTGCTCTGGGATATGACAAAGTTAATGAGGCATCAATGCCACTTCCTACTGGAAAGGTAATTGGTGCACAAACACAGTGATGGGTAAGAATTCTTTGTTTCATCATGGAAGAATGCCAACCATAGCCCCTCTGTAGAGTAGTCTATCTGAGTCAAATGGGAATTTTTCCACAAAATGAGGCACCCCTAGAGGTAGGGAATTACTGCAGGGTTTGCTGTCTTAGTGACTTTATGTGTTTGCAAATAATATGCCTGGATGACACTGAGGGAAGAACAGAGGAAAAGAGAAAGCCAGTTATAAGGACAAAGAGAAGGGAGGCCACTAGGAAGAGAAGGGAAGGTTTGGGATTGATACACAAAGGAACTCATTGGAGTAGAGTAAGTCCTAGAAGACTTTAAGGAACCAGGCAACTTCTTAGAGAACAGCATGGGGGCTTATTCAGGAGGAAGAAGAAGGATAATATAGCCATCTCTGGCACAGTCTCTTCTGGTGACAGGCAACATTACACATGCGTATTTCCCCCCCTTGAGAAATGACCACATTTTCCTTTGATATTCTCTGTCTCCCAATTTTAACCTGAAAATCATGTAGGAAAATTTTACAATTTTTCTTAGCTTTCCTTTTCAATGTTTTTGTTTCTTGAAAGTGTTCATCTAGCATATAGGTTTAAGGATTTGGTTTTATGATGATTATTTTGGAAACCTTTCCTCTCTTCTCTTGAACATTTTGAGTCAGCATGCATTATGCCATTATGCACACAGCCAAGGGATAATTCATCTTTGTAGAAGACAGAGACAACTCATGTATTAATTAGAAAGCCTTTCCCTGGCTAGTGCCTAGAAACAGGGTCCAAATGCTACAGACACACAGCCAGCGATTTCCAGGAAGAGAAAGCCAGTTACAAGGAATTTCTTACCCAATCTGCGATCAGCCAATGACCGAGCTTTGCTTTCATCTGGCACTGAGGAGAAGAAATAAAAGAGATGAGAATTAGACCTTCCTATTAATCAGGCACTTTAAAACCATAAATTAGTATATTCATAACAAATTAAATCTTTTACTGACAAAGATTTGAAGTTTTTTTTCTTCCAGTCTATCCTGGGGAGCCTCAATTTTATTCATAGACTTTTTATAGTCAACTATGTACAGCTATGTCTATTAGACCTCCAATGAATGTAACACTTATAAAAAGTTTTCAGTACTTGCAGTTCTTTTACCTGGGTTCTTTCTTTGTTGTATGTTAGAGAAGAACTAAATTCAAGGGCCTTTGGATATATAATAGATAACAAAGCTCCTTTAGTATTAAAGCAATATATATGTACATATTCAAGACTCAAGGGCCACTCTTCTTTATCTGACCAAAACACACACACACACACACACACACACACAGACAGAGAGAGAGAGAGAGAGAGAGAGAGAGAGAGAGAGAGAGAGAGAGAGAGGAGATTTATGAAGAAATGACAAAATCTGTAATAATAACATTCAACAAAGTAGGCATTAGGTCACAAAGGACAGACTTATAAAGATGGAAAACAAATATAGTCAAATCATGATCACTCTCACTTTCAATCTAGACAACTTCCTGGAGACTGTGCAGAAAGGGTACATGGAAGAATCTATTGGTGTCCCTTGCAATAAAGACATGCCATATGATATTCATGGAAGTCAATGCATATGGAGTTTGTAAAGCACAGAACCAGCTTACTACTTTTTCCCAATGTCTTCAAAGTCAGCCTGCCCCCATATCCCTGTGACCTAGAAAACCAATAGCAAATAGAAAGAAAACGACATTTGGAGTTCACACAGAGAGTAAAACGATGTCTACTCCCAACAGTTGCACTGTTAAGCTTCATAGTGTAGGGGATCACTTGGAAATGATGACAGGTCTAACCTCAATAGTTTGGAAGAATTGTGTCATGAAATATACACCTCTCAAGCAATTAGGAAAAAACTCTTAAAAAGTGCATGTTAGTAAAGCTTAAAAACATAGAATAAAGTTTTTCGGGTCATTAATGTAGACTATCATGTCATCTGCAAATAGTGAAAGTTTGACTTCTTCCTTTCCAATTTATATCCCTTTGATCCCCTTTTCTTGTCTTATTGCTCTAGCTAGAACTTCAAGTACAATATTGAAGAGATATGGAGAGAGTGGACAGCCTTGTCTTTTTCCTGATTTTAGAGGAAACATTTTGAGTTTCTCTCCATTTAGTTTGATGTTGGCTATTGGATTGGTATATATTGCGTTTATCATGTTAGATATGTTCCTGTTATTCCTGTTCTCTCCAAGATCTTTATCATGAAGGGATGTTGGATTTTGTCAAAGGCTTTTTCAGCATCTAGTGAGATGATCATGTGGTTTTTCTTTTTCAGTTTGTTTATATGGTGGATTACATTGATGGATTTTCATATGTTGAACCATGCCCGCATTCCTGGAATGAAGCCTACTTGATCATGGTGGATGATTTTTCTGATATGTTCTTGGATTCAATTAGCCAATATTTTATTGAGTATTTTAGCATCGATGTTCATGAGGGATATCGGTCTGTA